CCTGGGCAACGTATACTCATACGGCAAAAAAGTCTATAAACCGGCAGTTGACTTCTGACTTCAAACTGTCATGCGCCCACTGTATGTCATATTCGACTACTTCCACAGTATTCACCTCACCTCTTTTCTACCTTTCTACCTTCGTCTTTGAAACACCCTTCTATTCCCTCCCACCCCCTCTCGACTTTCTTTCACTTTGATGTTCCTCCTCCCCTCTGTGAAGCCTGAAGTCAACTAAAGGGCTAATGATAACCATCAAAACGCCTGCCATTTGATATAAATAAATAAATCTTCTAAATTTTGTTTAATTTCGTAATATTGAGCAACTGTCCCTCACTGTTGAGCACTTATTCACACCATGGAGGGCGACTTCACATCGTATCAGCCCCAAGCTTCGCCAATCAAAGAGCATTTGGAAATTCTTTCCTGATCAGGATGTCTGGAGTCAAAATGGCCCTGATGTAATTTAAGATATACCTCAAATTATGCTTATTTTTTGCGTTAATTTGGTCATTTTTGTTTCCTGTATTAAATTTGCGTCATTCTCGTGGTAGAAAATGTCTTTAGTATTAAATACATGCATTGCGCATTATCATTACCAATGACAGTGGCACAGCTAAAAACTCAAATGAAAAGGTGTTGGAAATACTACGCAAATAGATGCTTTACTTAGCTTTGATCATCTTCTTCCAGGTCCAAATAGCCGCAGACAAGCATAACTAGCCTTGAGTAAAGTCACCTAGCATAAATTTACCTTCGAAATTTACATCGCCACGTCCAAAGTAACGTAAACACAGGAGGCGTTGAGTGGATGAAGTTGATTCCCACCGTGGGCAGAGGTAGGTAAACTGTCAATAGGCCTAGTTTTTAAATACAGTCAACTTGGCATTGACTTGTGGGCGCACATATTCGGTCACTAAGTGTTCTATAGGAAATACGAGATCTAAAGTGAATTTTTACGTTAACACACACGCCACCACCGATGGCTTCATGAGGGTAAATAACTCAATTTGAAAATTTTGTCATTCAATGCAATAAAACAGCAAACTTAATGTATGCTAGAGCATTTATCGAGCATCATTAGCCTTTGGAATGCATTGAGTTATGCAAGAAAAAGGTGAATTTAACTCAATGGTCGTTTTCAAAATCGATCCAGATATCTGAATAAACAAAATTTTGAATTGCATTGTTATTTTCCATTGATTCGCTTACTAATAATACTTGAGGAAGCTTGAGCTCTGATGAGAAGCTCATGCTCTGTATCTTCCTTTCTTCAATCTAGATGATCATAAACAACCGCTACAGTGATTAAACGCATTACTTGCTATGCCCACTAATGAAAAATGATATCGTTTCCTCAGATTTAGCCGACGTTCGCTTTACCATCTTTTCTGCGAACATACGCCTTCATTTGGCAACTTTCCTCTTCATTGTTTTCATTTAATTTAGTTTGAGGTAGAGATTTAAACATCTATAAATGGAAATCGTTATTGCTGGTTGCTATTGTCATAGGGGGTGGAACTTGTAGCGAATTGCAACACGAAGGAACCTTGACTTATGCTCAGTAATCCCTATGGCAACCCCCCCCCCCCCAGCAATATGATAGAAATTGACCTATAGCGAGGACCACGATTATTTGGATTGAGAATCATTTATGGCACCAAGTCTCCATATTAATGGTTTGGGCTTCTTCAACGACTTAACTTCGATTAGCCCCCTCAAGAGTAGAAGTATGGATTTTTATGGAGTTTAGTGGCTGAATCATATTTGTGTTATACATATTTTGGTTGCCCAAGTCAATTCTTCGTTAAGGCATAAACAGTTACGATCTAAAAGCCAGTATCCCATCCATGTTTTGCTAAACCTTTATGTCCCAATTGTATGCTGAAATATTACTACATCTCGACTAATACTCATCATTAAGATGGGCTGGGCGGAAAATTAATTTCGTCGAAGAAGATATTAGGTACATTTCCTGCTTGACAGACGCCTTAAATGCTAGTGTATTAGGAACTGGGGAACACGATAGGAGGTTGAGTTGTTCACAGGCAGTATACGACCACATGCAAGAAAGCTGTCTAGAAGCATTTGTAGCCTTCTCTATTAAATGCAGAAATGTCAATTATTTGATGTCAGCCTTCCTTCTAATAGATCACGTCCCTGAGTATCCTATTGTAATAATTTGATACCTCCTAGTTAACATAGTGGTGACATACGACCACACCTATTGGAAAAGGCAGATTATTCAGGAGATCGTTCTGATAGGAACTATTGAATTTGTACTTCACTTAAACTAGGAGCCTACTAAACTCTAAAAGTGCTATCTTTAAACTACAGTCTGAAGCACTTTAAATATAAAAAATACACTCAGAACCAACGCTTAGAAGGAGCGTTAGCAGATACGAGATTAATTTTGCCGCTCAGCTGTTCTGCATGCTATACCTTCTGTCTTATACCAACCTTCACAACGATAACAGGACAGAAGATAGCACGGTTGTAAACAGCAGGTTTACTTAAACGACACCTTTGAAAAAACAATGACAAATGTGTGTGTGTGTGTTTGTGTGTGTGTGTGTGTGTGTGAGAGAATATGAGGAATCGGATGCGGACGCCGAATATAGGAGTATTTTTGTGCTAAAAGCTGACAATGCTGGGAAATATAGAATAGAATGGCATTGAAGTGAAACGGAGACAGTCTGGGGGAGCAAAGAATTTACGTTTAACTTGGGGTCTTAGCAGCACTGACGTTTCCAGAAAATTTTAGAATTGGCTTAGACTGAATCGATCAATCGAAGTTATAGCTTGATCTATGGCCCCAATGACCCTTCCAAAGGACTTTGGAACAGTTGACTCGATTGCCTTGACGAGAACGCGTTTGTTTCTATTCCAGTTAGCAGTAATATAGACTAAACAGAGAATGCTTCTCTTTTTCTGAGGTTTTCCCCACTTCATGAAAGTCGAAAATTAAGGAGGGAGTTGAGAGTTTTGGAATATCTGAGAAGAACTTGGATTAATTTGGAAACGAGCTATTACTAGATTACTGGTCAACAACATATACCCGCTTTTGAAAGCAAGGTAAGTTGCCTGCGGAACAGAAACCCCCCCCCCCTCTACCGGAACTGAGTAATTAGGACTTAATGACAGAGGAATTCATCTGACGACTTGACCTCCTTACACAAGTTTAGGACCAATTAATCTAATAACAAATATCAAATAGTAGTAAAATTAGTTTACGACGATATTGCGATCAAAATGACTCATCCCCGCCACCAAGGCCCATAAGTAGACACGAAACGCTGATCAAACGCGGTAATCAGAGTAGCTTAGACACCCTAGAAATCAAATTCTGTTGCTTGTAGAATTTTAGTTTTTCGTAACAAAGTGGAATTTCCAGGCCATATCCGTATTACGTCGGGAATTCCTAACATTCAACTGAGCCGATAGCGCAGTAGCCAACGTACAAATAAATCAGACAAGAGATAGATAAGATTCCCATGCACCTGGAACAGCCTGTTCAAATGACCCAACCGAACAAGAAAAATTGCGCACGTACTTCAAAATACTAATACACTAATATTATACAAAAATATGATGAAAGAAATGGCGACCACAATAGGGAAGCTACATAATATAAAAATCTGTACAGAAAAATATCTCTTGAATAAATTAAACAGCCGACAATAAGAAACGATCCAGAGCGATTATAGCAAAAAGGACGAGTCCGATATTCCGATTTGATTTGAAATAGGCAAAACAATTTTCTGGGTCGTCAAGATTCGTCTTCCATACCTATAATCAAAGCATCCCATAGTTTACTTCGCAGTGGAAAGGAACGCAAAAGAGCATTGGAGCATACCTTGTAGAAAACATGAAGCATCGTCAAACCAGTTCCAGCAAAATAGACAGATCCTGCGCCGGATGATAAGCCAGCCGTAGCAAAAGAGGTAGACATAGCGGCTGCCATGGTATAGAGCCACCATTTTGAAGTTCCATTAAGTAGAATTGGCATCGATCTAACTCCAATCCGCTTATCATCCTTGATATCCTAGGAAAATTTATCTTTGAATATACATGTACCAATAGCCAACCTGGAAAGAGTATATTGAATCAAAGAGCATTGTTTGAAAAGCACCTGCTAGATAGATGGGAAGGCATATGGTCATATCGAAGCCAGCGATAGCAGTGTATCCCATCAATGCACCCCAATTCATGGTTAAACCGAGCATTACTTGCGGAAAATATGTGAAACGCTTGAAAAAAGGATAAGCACAGACTAATCCTACACAACTAGCACCGACAGCAATGGTTTCTAAGTTGAGTTGTAAAAGAATTGCAAGTGCTCCTGTAAGTTGTAAACCCAAAAATGAGATTGCATTAAATTGAGAAACTGATCCCCGAGCGATTGGACGATCTTTAGTTCTGGTAACTTTCGAATCAATATCATGATCGATTATATCATTAACTGTACAGCCAGCGCCGCGCATTAAGATGGCCCCTGTTCCAAATAAGGCCAACATCCCAAAATCAGGCAAGCAGCCCGGACTGGCTGCAAGAGCAATACTCCAGGTACTAGGAAGATAGACTAACCACGTGCCCGTTGGTCTGTCAAGTCTAGCCAACTCCATATAGGGGCGAATTTTCTTGGGAAAATTATTAAAGCCTAAAGGTAATTGAGGTACCACTGACGATGATGAACGCAGGGAGGTCTTAAATGCGCATCTACTAGCACAAGCCCTATATACAACGGGAAGGTATTGAGAAGACATCTTTGGAATCAAGCTAAAGAAAGCACACCACTAACAAGGCGGACAAGTCACGTGTGCAACAACCTTGAGAAAAGATAACGGTTTATTCGCAACTAATTATATATATATATATATATATATCATTCAAAACAAATAATGTCAATAATTAAATGATAGACTTTAACATTAAAGAAAAATTAATTAAGCTACTCGAATTACTGGTATTGTGAATTGATCTAATTTTGGTGGACATAAATGGAAACTTGATTTTTATATAGTCATTTTAGTCTATAAATTATTCATTCAAAGCTAAAGTTACATGTCCTAAGCGTAATTACGTTTTAAATGTTAATTAATTAATTGTGACTTTATATGACAAGCACATATGTTCATAATTTTTTTGTAGCTAGATAAGACGAAATTTATATCGTTCGATTTCATTCGAAATTATGCCGAGCACTTTCACCAATTTATCCCTTAATTGTCCATAGTTTAACCTTACAGCATTACCTACCTTATTTGATATACAAATGATCTCAGCTTATTTCAACGATTTTCAACGTGCTTTAGGGTTTCCTTTGCAAACATCTTGATTATTTTAGAAGTTCATAAAAGTCATCACTAATTGCCAAAAGAATACATATGATTTTTTTCGATTGTATCAGATTTACAATATTTTGCTTTGTAATTACATAAAACCATTCGATACATTGTATAACAAGTTGACATTCTCTCATCAACTGATTGTTCGGTTTCCTGGGGTAACTTAAACCCGTCACATTTTGTCATTCAATTAACAATTTTTCACCAATCTGGCTAATTAAATCGATTATAGCTGCATAATCAAATTATTTCCATTCTCTCTCATCTTTTTGAGAATTTAAGTATGCCATGCCTTGTCAATTGTTATATTAATACTATGAGTTTGTTAAGATATTTCGAGGAAAAAGACACACACACACACATATATATATATATATATATATATATATATATGTCTGTGTGTGTGTGTGTATGTGTGTGTGTCTTACAGTAGCTCGGAATTTTCCCCGACAAAAAGATTGGATTAACTATCACAGGTTATAATGAAAAAGGGCCGATTTTTGAGGATATTTTGAGAGAAATTATGAAGAAGCCGATGGTCTTGTTTTCAATAAGTATAATTCTGATTAGGCAGGGGAGTAATGCTCAAAATTATTACATTCGAATTAGTAAGAAAATCGATAAAATGTGTAAGAAACTACATATGAACGTACATGAATTGAAGTGAAAAAGCCAATTTGTGAAAAAGATAAAATTTGATGAAAATGGAAGCAAGAAATAAGCTCAATAATGCGTCTTTACTTATCAATTGACCAAATTTTGACCTCCCTGCTCTGCTCAAATGTCATCCTGCCATTGAGGAAACTACATCAAACATTTGTTTGCATGAATATATTCTCAAAAGATCAAATAGGCAATTGAAAATTTAGAGGAGGGCGGAATATTACTGAATTAAATGTAGGGTTTGGAGTGGGGGGGGAGTGAAAGATTGGAAGAGAGGTATGTCTACTTATAAAAGTACAGTCGGAAATCAATAAGAGGAAGACTCATTTATTCCTTAGTTTATTCGGCTCTCTTAAAAAACCCCTTTACTAATCAATAGTAAAGTGTCTTATGACTTTCAAAATAAGTGCATAAAATTACATTTTGTAAGCAAGGCCTGTAAGAATATGAAAGATGGATCAAAATTGTGTTAGAGTAAAAAACCCTCTTACTATAGTGGTCAATTATAGTTGTGATCCAAAATTCTTATTTGTCAACTACGTGGGTAAACATGTGCGTCTATATTAGCTGGTAAGGTTGCTAACCTTGTCTGTTTTTCGTGCCCGTTAACAATCTTATTAGTGGCTTATAGAGTGGATATTGTGACTGTAAATAATGTTATAAGCTTCAGTGCCAAGTTGTAACATGAAGGCTCATATTTCCGATGTCTTACTAAACAAATCGACCCTCGCTAGGGTCAAAGTAACCAAGAGATATTATGGACATGGAGATGATTAGAATTTTTGACAGCCTTCACCAGGGAAATATGGACGGAATAAGTAACTACTGAAAAAAATGGAAGTAAACTAGCCTAGTGACCAAGCTATCCCTGTGCGAACCCACCAAATTAGAAGGCGGACTAACGTGATAGAACAGTAGCCATTTAACAAGAAAAGGAGATATAAACCTAGGCGATTGGCTATATCTCCAATGCAGTTTTTATACTTTCTCAATATTTGTTTTAATGAAGAGTTTATTGGTAATGGCTTCGCGCATTCCACTAAGAGTGTACGTTGCTGGAGTTGATTCTGTTTAGGTTAATGTCACTATCTTAGATTCATTGGTACGCAGAACCCTAACTCCATTCAGCAAAATGATAATTCGGTTCTTCCTCCGACTAATTTCTCTTCCATTTAAGACATTCAGTTCAAGAAAACTTTAATACGTCCTTCCCCAATAGTGCAAGCTGGAACAGCATAACCTGTCGCCTTTTCGTCCATCCAAATATTTTCCTGGTCAGTTAATTGCCCACATCATTCATGAATTTATATGACTAGGAAGCCGACAGAACAAATATCATACTAGCAGGCCTTTGTGCTTTGTCTTGGGCCTATCAATTCCAGGAGATTATCACCAGATCGTCTACCACCCTCATCGATATGCTGGCGCATTTAGTTTCTGACAGTTGTTTTGGCTTGAAAATATTATCATTCAACGGCCTTCAGTTCTCAGCATTCATAAGGCTATCCATATAGCTACATATTGTCCAGTTAAAAGAACATTTTAGGTTCGATTAAACTGCAGCCTAGTGGTATCTCAATCACGGAGATCGATAGCTTAGCGAGTGAAAGGTGCTTAAACTTGACTTAATAATTACCAGGTCAAAGTTCATATAAGCTTCTAGCAATACTCCCACGTGTAAGACAAGCCCTTAGTGACTCGCGTGTCTGAAAGTCCCAATTAACAGATTATGAAGTAAGACCAGTCAACCCCTCTTACTGAACCAAAATTTACCATAAACTCGAGTCTCATTTGTTCAAAGCTAACCTTTGTCACCATGATTGCAGTCCGGCTTCCTCTGTTGACTCAAGGTCGTTCAGTACATTTTGCTTTTGCTTCGAAAACGACTGCAAAATATACTCGACCTTTAGCAGTAACACTTGCTTAGGAAAGGGATATTTCCACGTCCGGAATGATCGGGACTTAGAGCAGTTTAGATGTACTTAAGGCTCGTCACCGAAGCTCTTTTGTTAGCTAGTAATGTGGAGAAACTTGTAACTGATACCTAACCACCATTGCACAGAATGCAAAAGAGTAAGTATATAATCAGTAGTATGTGTGTGGGTCTATGTATTTACCTTTTTACGACATGCAAACCAACGGCATGTGTATGTGCATCGGACAAGACGGGGAGAACGAGAGCAGAATGATAGTAATTTCAGAGACTGTTACGTTAACAATGTGGTGATGGGGGGGGGGAAGGAGTGGGGAGTAATGTTATGCGATGAACACACAGAGGGTTCACAAATTTCGGACACAGAGAGACCAATTAAATACGTTAAAAACGGCGCAGTGGGAGGGAGGGGGGGGGGGGTAGAGGGTGGCGGAATTAGAGCAAGGGGAGAGCAACAAAACAAATGTGTAGAGGGAGGACAGCAGCACAAAAGGGGCACTCCGTTCGTCAGGGTATGCGTGATTGCGTAAAAAAGAACTTCCAACAGACACAAGGTTCGACAAAATGCGCAGGCGAGATGGTGTGTACAAGAGAGATGATTGATACAGTGATGGCAGCAGCGGCAGCTTGATACCTCTCATAATCGTTCTCGCAGCACAACAATACTTCTCTGTACATTAGAACACACACAAGCATAGCAGAAGAGAACAGGAGGTCAAGGTATACATATATATGTACAACGCAGCGTGAGGGCGCGCTCTCAATTGTCATTCAGACATGCGCATCCGACTATACATATGTGATTAAACAGTTAAACTTTCTCATCTTCGACAGCGCACACAGAAATGGTACCAAAATAACCCTCCTTTCTCTCGTACTCTCAATTCTGACGCATACGGACCACACGCTTGAGTACTACAGATACACACTAACAAAAAGGGAGGAGGGGAGGGAAACAACGAGTTATAAGAGGAATAAGGAGGATGAATTAATGACACTACTGATGATGATGATGGTGGTGGGTACGTGTATACTACTTAATTCGCAGCGGCAGGTTGTGGCGGTACAGTGGGTGGAGGTGCTGTATACGCTCCAGAGGGGGGAATATTTGCAGGTTGTCCACTAATCCAACCCCATTCCGCAGCAGCCCGTTGCTTCTCTTCTTGAAGAACAGGAAAAGTCCCTCCATCCAACTGCCCACCACCGCCACCACCATTCGACATTGCAGCAGCAGCGGCCATAGCGTTCATTGCAGCAGCTAGAGCAGCCTGATTTTGCTGATGTTGATGAGAACTAGAACCTCCACTATAAAATGGTGGAGGCATCATCTGACCATCAACTGCACCCCCTTGTTTACCAGCAGCGGATGGTGAAGTAGCGCCCCCTGCTGCAAAGACCACATCTGGTTGATGAGGCTGATAGCCAGCAGCGGCGAATGCTTGATGATAGTTAGTGGGTGGATAGTCAGAGGGCTGTTGCTGACTACTACTGTTGTTAGCAGTGCTGCTGACGACATGTTGCATGGCGGCGGCAAGGTACTGCTGCAATTGCTGTTGCTGCTGTTGGTGGTTAGTTGGACCGGGAGGTCCAGTTGGAGCAGCTTGAGGTGGTCTCTGACCACCAAAAGGGCCAGGGGCGTATTGAGAGCACGAGGGTGGTGCGCGAGTGTCAAAAAGACCACGAGGGGGTGGTGGCGGGCCAAATGGATGACCCTGTTGGAGGCCCTGAAGAGCTGCCACAGCGGCAGCGGTGGCGAAGGGATTCTGGTGCGGTGGTGGTGGGGCCTGCTGATAACGGAAATTGTGATTCGGTGGTGGTGGACCAGGAGCAGGGACACAAGCGGCAGCAGCGAGAGATGCGGCTGCACAATTGCCGAGAAGACCGAGAGCCTGAGGGTTCTGAACGTAGCTTGTATTGGTCTTTTGACCAGCTCGGAAGTCCAGAGAAGCGTAGTTCGGTCTAAAACCGCCGCCTCTGAAAGAGGTAACAACATGGTAAATAGATGAAAACTATACTTCTCAAGCTGTTACACCATCTTGATTATGACCTAACGTATAAGAGTGTAGGAATTAGAATAAGCAGACCTGATTCATCGTCTGCACCCAACAGCCTTAAACGAACAAAGCCAGTTCTGGTAAAGACGTTCTGATGGCATGAGGTCAAGATAAGCACATGAATACTGCAGAGTTCTGAAACGATTTATTTAACTATTTCTACAGGTAAAAAGCCTAGATTAGAATAATACATTTCCAAACTTGAACCCATTAAATAATAAATACGAAATGCATGCCACTAACAAAATTCATAAATAGAACTTATATTGATGATTTCCATTAAATTTATTTTGGAGAAATTACCATTTACCACAATCTCATTTTTTGGGAATCGGTAGTAACTTGTTCGAGCACAAAATGTTCCATCAATATGATTTCTTTAAATCCACACAAAAAAAAGTGCTAATAGATACACCGCCTTTTGGACACAAGAAAATATGATTCCCCCAAAAATGGCTTTTAGAATTCATTATGGTGGATATCTGGTAAAGAAGCTTCAGTTCGGGCATCGTTAAAATGCAAATTCGTAAAAATTGGAGTAAGAGGAGATTGCGGTAAATCTGAACACTGGCTCATGGGCCTTCTCAGTGCCTCTGCTTCAATCCTTCAACGCTCAAATTATTTTTTCTTGGACAAATGCACCCAACCGCACTCACATATGTCTCACAGCAGACTGATGCCACCGACGTGATGAGTTCTGGTGGTATCAGGGGAAGGTTATAGACGTATTTAACATGTTTCGAACGGGAATAGCGCCTTCTGTTACGAGTCTAGTGCCAATGGAGCTTATTTTGAAAGCGGACCGTAAGGTCCTGCAAGGCGTTAAAGGAATAACCGTAAATTACTCGTCAATAGACAAGGAAAGCGAAATTAACCAATTGCCTTTTTCGTACTTCACATTCGTTCAATACTAACGCCTACAACTTCCAATGCCTTCTATTACTGCATACTTTTGTCCATTTTCAATTGTTCAATGAACTTGGAGTATAACTCATGAAGAATTCTTGTACGTGGGTATAGAAGTCCCAAAAGGAGGCACCCTAGCTACTAAAATAGTTTTACTAGGGAATAAACCGACCTTAAGGTTAAGGAGCTGGTAGTGAGGCAATTAACCCGCCGCTTGATGGGAAACACGAGGAGTACCCAAGACCTTCCACTTAGCTAAGGACGTACATGAAGCGCACAATCATCAACCGATGACTAATGCGTTACCTGGCACGCCCGTGCGCGCACGCACGCGTTAGCTGCGCGAAGGTAGCCACAAAATCGGACATAAGTTACGACATCCAGAAAACAAAAATTGGGCATAATCTAATGATGAAATATTGCGCGTTCCACTTAAATGAATCTCTCTTTAACCTAAACAAGCCCATACTTGTCATTTAGGAAAAAACAGCAAAAAATCATATCATTTACTTCAAAATGAATATCGAAAATTGTAACAAATTGACGGAAATGGAAAGTTTACAACATTTCATGTTTAAGAAATGAAATTGAAAACATAAAGTCATAAAAATCGTTGTGTAGTCACTGATCCCTCCCATGATCTATAAACCACTTTCAAATAACCGTGAACATTAAGTCTGTTTGAAAGTTAGATTTGTGTCTGCTTAATGGAAAATTGAAACAATATCCACATTCTGGTATTCATTCGCCGAAGAAAGAGCAATATTGAAAAGGGAAATAATTAGTTTGAAGGAATTCCTGCTTGAAAAATAGTCAAAGTGATGATTTTGGAACCCAGGCTTTGGAATCAAATTCTAAACTTTGGCTTCTAACGTATTGAAACGATTCCCAATGAAGAAATATTTCAAAATGAAAGCATATTCAAGATCGCATTTTTCAAAAGCCAGTCGTAGTTGGGTAGGAAACAGAGAAAGACATACACCTTAAATCCCGATCAACCCCATCATTATATTAAATACGCGTTTGTTGCCACACATTTACCAGAAAAGATATTCTCCTAGCTCGGAGAATCGCACACCAGTAACCGGAATTACCTAGCTCTAGGCCATCGGCACACTCCCATCGCTCAATTTCTCATTGATGTGGTGATATTTGGCTATTAGAGAGGCAGTAACAGGCTAATGACAAGTTTAGAAGAGCAGGAGGATAAATTGTATCCATTCGAGAGATGTGGAAGTACGTGGAATCGTTTAGTTTAAACTGGATTGGTGTATTCAAGTATGTTCTAGCCAAAACTAGTAGTTTAACGAACTTAAGAACTTCCAATGCACCTTTTGTGGAAAATGTAATAAATCGCTATCTTTGATGTTTTAGTCTATAATCAAGAAAAGAGTTCAAAATATCGGATATATTTTGTGCTGGAGAAGAGCCTTCACAATTAAGTAGGAGGAGAGTTGAGGGGTAACCCTAGTAACTAACAGGCTCATAAATAGATGCGGGCATATTCTATAATTTGAATTAAGTGATGAATAGTAAATTTCATAAATCAAACCCTCAATAACCGAAATTTAAGACCTTAAAGCGATGCTCACCCGATCGCTCATCTAGTATACAGCACGTCAATAGAATAAATAAGTGGAGAGGTATATTTACAGTAAAGAATGATATTCTTAAGGAAATTGAACTCCTATCGAAACAACACGGAACGTGGATAATAACTCAAACTGTTGTCGTGGTTTTAACTTGTAATAACTATTTTGCTTCTGTATTGTCATTTCTTTTCAAAGCTTGATCATGTCATTGAATAGACCAAAAGTTTAGAAATCTCACCTCCTATTTTGCCCATTGCCGTAACGACGACCATTTGAATTGAGAGAATTACTGCCAGAGTTGGAGACCCGTTGCTCAAGCCAAATCGGCACAGGCTGTTTAGCTTCACGCAGTAACTCCACCAGCTGATGGGCGACATTCTGATTACGATCGCAGAAGAATGACGTGGCCGAGCCGGGTTGGCCCATTCGACCTGTGCGGCCGATACGATGTACGTACTCTTCAATGTCCGAGGGTAGATCGAAGTTGATTACATGCTGAATGCAAAGAAACAAGGAGTAATAAACATGGCGGTCGAATTCAGTTTTTCGCCACACACACACACACGCTGTGCACTAGTCTCGTGAGTCATAGAAAATAGGGTGTTATAACAACGTCTAGCTTAATAATATGTTAAAGAACTCGACTAGGAAGTGTATTTATTGTGTTAGGATAAATGGAGAAAAATATCTGGAGCGGATGTGAGCAGAATTTAGGCAGTCGAATTGGAGCTTTAGTACAAAATTCTCGAATGCAGAATAATGAATGAATGGGTTCATAAGTAGAGCTGTATTCTCTATGAAATATATACACCTTGAAGTATAGGTAACTAGTTATATGCGCATGTCTGCTGACAAGAAAAAAAATTCCTTAGCATGCTCAATTTGTGGAAACCTTGAGCCAAACTACAGTCAAAGGTGATTATATCGACGTCAATCAGAATGCCATTCTCAATCTAAGTGCTCCTGAGTGGTTGCACAATTCAATATTGAAGGGTGCACTTTTTTTCATTCTAGACTGAGCCTCATAGATAGAATATTTTAAGATTACACCGCCGCAAATCGACAAGCTCTTTTTACAAATAAAATGACAAGCACGTTCTCTCCTTCCAGATTGTTGATGTCGTCTGATAAATCAAAACCCAATGGCAGCGTTTAAATAAGCAACATTGTGTGTTGATGCTAGAAATGTTAAAAAGTGGTTGCCAAGTCCAAAAATGGTTGAGAGAAGTTAAAATAATAGTAAAATACAAACGCGTAATAATGAGAAGTGAAAAGAGTTCAGAAGCGTTCCCACAAAGCAAAAGTAGAAAGGGGAAAAGAGACGAGACCACTTTTGAGTCAATTTATAAAAAATGTTTTAGATTTATTAAGCAGATAGTGGGGGAATATTAGCCATGGTAATCCCAAAACGGCACAGATGTAACTTTACCTGTTAAGTCATTTGCGAAAAATGTTGTCGCTTCATGATCATGAATTACCTCAAATTCAGGCAAACACAATAATTAGAAAATTAATTTCACTGAACATCGTCGTGTCTGGCTTTCTCAGCGTGAGTCTGATTCTCTCTTGGAACAGGAAAGTTAACAGAGCGGTATCAAGGCTATTTTATGCATCACCCCCAGACTTAATAAGGACATTCGACTGACCAACACTGAATTTCATTGATTCACAAAGCACAAGTCAAATAGGAAGTCGAACTTGCCATGGTGGTTAAGACTGAGCAAATAGGTTAATTGGAATCCGTGTTCTAACGACTTTAGAACTCAAGCTAGAACAGAGATATGTCTGCAAACTTTTTAAAAGTATGAATTTTAAAACAGGAAACGTCATTGCTAATTCTTAAGGCAGGCTTATATATTAAGCGTAAATCATTTGACCATAAACGAAACTATTAAGTTCTACCAAATGACCTAGTGACAAACCATAAATGAAAGCAGAAAATAATGATTAATTCCAATAGACTTAATCTAATTCGAACGAAAGACCATTATTACGAGTTGTTGGTTCTCCTGCTAACAAAGGAGAAATGAAATCCCTGTTCCTAAATCTTCGTTTTACAAAACGCTTCCTTTGGCCTTCAATCGAATTAGAGTAGAATATTGTAAAACCATAAATTGAATGCAATAATCCGTTCAAAGGAAATCGATATTCAGTTCAATTTTCGTATAAAGAGTGAAAGGTAAGCGAAAATTTAAGCCGACGATACGGTTCTCTCGATGATAAGGATTCGAAGACTTGAAAACCCTTACGTCTTCTTATTTGGAAAGAAAGGTAAGATTTTCTATATCCTATCTGTCACTTAAAATAGAACAATAATAGAATAACCCCTAGAAAAAATTTGTTTTATTAGTATCTAAATAGATCGGATGTATTCAGTGACTTCTTCATTTTCCTGTTTAGGAAACATTGAAGCGATCAGTTTAGTAACCCCCCCCCCAAGATTCACGGTTAGTGGTTTACTATAGCGGGGATTCCAGTTAGAAGCAGACAAAGATAATTGTATGCACAAACAATTTCAAGCATGAGATGCAGACAGATTTAAATACTCTTCACAAACAACAAACAAAAAGTGCTATTTCATTTCGAAAGCGTTGCGACTAAAGTTAAATGTAAAATAAATAGGAAAATCACACTCATTTAAGGGGTGGAATAAATGAGTGGTGTGAATTCCCTATTAACACCAAACATCTTTGAGTTAACAAAATTTAGTGGTTTTTTAAATGCGAGAGGACCCCAACTAAGCTCAACAATCGTATAGTGATAACGAAAGAAAACTACAAAAAATTAAAACTAAGAAGTTATTTATTTGGTATTTAAAACTCTATCCAGCATGTAAAAGCATTAACGTCATCCAATAATTGGAAAAAATATAACGTCGGTGCATTGGTCGCCATGCTCATCCGTCATGTTGGGAATCCCAGATTCGACTCCTGTGCTTGTATACGCGGTGAGAGGAATGTGGGCAGCGCAGTGATACTGGTTGAATTAGGTCGACACAGACCTGCCGAATCTGAGCCTCATTAGGTAATGCCATAATAGCAGTTAGATGTCCACATATCGGGTAGCAATACTGTAATCTCAATTTTATCAGGCGGAATCTATAAAGTAACCTTTAGCATGTCCAAGGGAGCTTTCAGAAATAACTTCATGATAGTGCACACAGCAAAAGAAACAGACGTTAACATTAATTACACTCCCGAGGAATGAACTGTTAAATAAACTTAAGCGAACATAGAAAAGGGCAATTGAATAGAATGTCTTTAAATAGCGTGCACTAACGTGGTATTAGCTGGGCTGAATGCAATATTTCAATTTGATGCCCCAAAACTATGAATAAAGACACACAAGCAAAAGTTCAGACTTAAGTAGTACATATCAGGAGTAGACAATTTAAGAATCAACTTAGCAAGTTCCCCAAAGGTAACCAAGGAAAATGGCTAAATTAAACAGTTTTCAATCTAGCCCCAGTAAACAAATAATGGGTAGAATGTTTCAATACAAAGGATTCCAAATATCTCATTTATTTGGAACAATGCTTCCAATAATTAGCGTAAAATCCATGTTATCGCTTAAATTAAAGCTATAAGCAATTTATAAAAGTAGTTACTCGCCGATTAGATGTCAAGATTCGAAACAAAGAGCAAAAGCACGATTTCCAACCCAAACTCCATTTCTTAGATGAAATTCAGGCAGATTTATCATTATAAACATTTAAGGAGTTTTAAAAAGCAACAAGAAAGAGGAATGAAAAAATATTTTAGGTCAAAACCCGCAATTAGGTCACCTGCCAACGCATAGGTTCAACAAGCTGGAAGTCACATGGTCGAATCCCGCCACCGCATCAGTATACACCAAGAGATGTAGACGGCCAACCACAAGTTGGTTAAGTCTGATATAAAAGACACAATATAAGTTCTATCAGTGGCTCCACTGCATCTTCCTTCTGTTCAAGTCAAGCATAATGAAAAATTTGAATAAGTGGAAAAACGCACTAAGCATTCAAGCACATTTTCTGCTGACTAATTATCACCTTAATTACAGGTTACACAATAGATACTAAGACCATAGTCGTACCTTAACATTTGGAATATCCAAACCACGAGCAGCAACAGCCGTAGCGATAAGAACCGGAGTTCGACCAGAACGGAAAGAAGACAGAGCCCTTTCTCGATCCGCTTGAGGTCTATCTCCATGGATGGCAGAGACAGGGAATTGGAGGCGACTCAAGTAATTCGCAAGTAGCTCAGCACCCTTCTTAGTTTCCACAAACACTAACGTGAGTGCTGAAGGTTCTGCACGCATTTACAAAAGAAATGAAAATACTTCGTTAGCTAGTTGAATATAAATAAGCTAATATAAATCCCGTTCACCTATAAATGACAACGATGACACATAGGCTCTACCATTCAACTTTTATTAAGCGTGATGAAACCTGTTTGCTTTACAACTTCAAGTCTCTCACGATCTTACTCTTCCTTTAGCAAAGGAAATATTTCATCGATTAGGATTTGTAAAGTACAAGAACGCGAGTTCGAAAACCATTAAGAGGTTTCATGTGAGCTTTAGGATGGTGGTCATATGACCACAACGGGGATTAGGAGACACTTCATTTCAGAGGATTGCGAGGTCTGCTAAATCAGAGATAACCAAATATATGTTCACCGATGCAGATCTAGTAATCTGATTAACAAGCGTACCAATTAATTCTGTTAAAAAAATATGGGTAGAGTGGGAATTTGGTGAAGGAGTGGTTTCGATAAACATCTTCCTTCCATATCTAGCTAGACCTTTTCACAATGAGCATGGAAAGAGGCTAACCAAGATGCTATTGAAGTAAATTCTTTAAGAGATTCTACCTCTCGAAATTCGGCAGAAACTTGTGCTGTAGCAGTGTGTCATTTGGTAAATTTCGGAAAGTTTACCTGTGTACGAGTGCCCTATGATTATGCACATGGCTGTAAGCTGGAACAAACGCCAGTCAAATTTAACTTCGAAAGGGCTGATGAATCAGAGAGCTTCCGTGCCAGTCGCAAACCCAATCATCATCATCTAAAATTTGTTGCATGCATTCAGCTTCTTCTATCACAGCTTAATAAGAAGACTAGTTAACTGCTTCACTTTCTTTCTCCACAGTGTACTAAGCGAAACAGTGAACAAAAACACTGCAGTTAAGTGTTATGTCACGCCAATTTCCAGACCAATGTGGTAATGTTCGTGTCGAAACAAATAACATTAGTACTAAGACTGTACAGTCATTGCATTGTGCATTTGCGTATCTGTAAGCATAAGCATAAATTTTGTTTAGTCTTCTTACCCTTTTCCTTTAGAATGCGAACAAGACGCTCGGGTTTATCTCTGTCTTGAATGTAGAAAATCTCTTGGGAGATGTTTTCGCTAGTACTTCCAACACGTCCAACGGCCAAGAATATGTAGCTTTTCAAAAAGTCCTTGGCCAAGGTCTACATTGTAAAATGTATACGTATTATAGAAACGTGCTTTATAAGAACAACGGCTGTTCTTCTGCGACACGCAACATCACGATGCAATGCAACAAGCACTAATTAAAAGTCCATAGCGCGTACGTCTGTTTTGAAATAGACAAGCACGTGTTCAATGGTTATGTTGATTAAATTTGCGTCAATTTCTCCCCTAGAACAAGGGGGTCAATGAGTTAAGGCTAATGTTCATAGGCGCTTCAGATCTAAATTTAATTTAACGCCAAGCAAACTTGATCAGAAGTGGCCTCCGAAAAGTAGGAAGCTCTTAATAGGGTTCAAGGCCCTTATAAAGAAGACTTTTGAATCTTTCAGAACTTGAGATCATAACTTCAACAAAATAGAGATTTAATAATAACACATAGCAGATTTATTGTTTTATTTTCATCTTGATCACCAACATACAGACATGATTCAGACAACAAACGGGAAAGAAGCATTCTTGCTACTATTAAAAGGAGACTAACTTGAATCTCATTGGGAAAAGTAGCCGAAAACATGAGGGTTTGACGTTGGCTAGAATCGGGCATTCCATTTTGTTCAACAATCTTACGGATTTGAGGCTCGAAACCCATATCAAGCATTCTATCGGCTTCATCTAACACAAGAAACCTAGAAAAGACCAAGCGCGAAATGAATTACGAAATCTTATTAGAACAGTAACCTTATGGGAGGAAACTGACTTGACATTCTCTAGAGTGACCTTCTCACGACCAATGACATCGACAAGTCGACCAGGGGTGGCAACCAGAATATCACAGCCACGAGAGAGGTCACGGAGTTGATTATTCACGGGGGCACCCCCATAAACCACACAAGGTTTCATCTCTGATCGATAGGCAAAACGACGCGCTTCATCAAAGATTTGACAAGACAGTTCACGAGTTGGCGCGAGAATCAGACAAGTCGGACTGGCCCTACCAGAGATCAAAGACGGTGGTTTGATCTTCTAAAAGAAAAGGGGGTTTCGTGAAGTTAGATCGAAATAAAAATATTACGAAATCCATTTAAACACAATTATAATCTAAGAAGGAAGTAAAAGACGAAAACTACTGTAAGAACTTACCTGCAATCGGATTACTATGAAACAAAAGATCAAATTATTCAATAAGAAAGGAAGAGACCATAAACTTGTCCAAATAAAATTTTCATTACTTTAAGCCCATTAAGCATTTTAAATTAAATTTTTGTTACACGAAATAGGGGAACTTGAATAAATATCAAAGAACATATTCTACTCTAATGCAAAACGAACGAAACAGGAACGCAAAATCAAATCATGGACAATATTAAGGAACACATGTAAAAAGGCACTTACTTCATCACATTTTTCAGAATCTTTTGAAATATTCTCTAGCATCATATGTAGAATAGGAATTAGAAAAGCAGCGGTCTTTCCAGAGCCTGTCTGTGCACACGCCATAAGATCACGTTTGGCCAGGGAGATAGGTAAAGAGTACTTCTGCACCGGAGTTGGGTGATTATATTGAGCCCTTTCAATGTTATCCATAATGACCTTGTGCAGTTTAACATCACTGAAGGATGAAAGCGGGTCTACTGCTGTCCAATCAGGACCAGACTGTTTCACAGGAATACTATCGTAGAGCTCGAGATTAATGTTTCCTTTCGGAGTATTATTGCAAAATAACTCCTCGTCAGTTTTGAATGAAAAATTCCAATTTCCATTGTTGTTATTATTAGTAAGTCCATTGTGGTAGTGATTATTGTTGTTAGGATTAGCGTTGTTATTCATTCTGTATGAACGACGGGGATAGCCACGGTTATTGAAAGAGTTCAAGCTATCGAACCGCCCGCTATCAGGTGGGGCACCAAAAAGACCAATTCCATCGGCTGTTTTACTGCCTCTGCCAGGTACTGCTGTCATAAAGAACGGTGCTACGTTGTAATATCCATTAAACGATTGTTGCTGGGCAGCAAGATCGTGTAGCTTACCAAACCGTGGTGGCGTTCCACGTTTGGCATGATTTTGTGAATGATTGAAGCCCTTTCCAATAAACTGATTACCAACGGGAAAATATAATGACCCGTCACCAAATCCCTGAGGAGTGTCATTGAGTTTCATTTGTTGAAACTATAATTTCGAAGAAAAATAAAAAATGAACCGGTAAACTGTATATACCGCAAGATTATCGATACTTTACACAATTATAATCACTACAAAACAATAGATACTAAATCTCCACTTTATTACTCAACGAAAAAATTGTTGGGACGTGAAATTAAAGCGAGCACAAAAACTAATGTTAAACGAACACTATTGTCCAGACTTTCCATGATTTGTTATGGAAAATTCGTAATAAGGTAAACACGATGAACACAGCCTAGCTAATGGAAGAATAATAGACACTAATCATAAGAGCCGCCAAAATGGATACTCGGCGAAAGTGGAACTCTGAAATTTTAAATATCAATTTTAATTTTACGAATTAAGTTATTTATATTTGAGAAAAGAATAATGACATTTGATAATAACAGTCTGGAAACACTATGCATCAAAATCATGAAGGCGAATAATGATTAGCATCGGTTTATCATAGGTAAAATGGAATCGCCGTCATAATATTATATTTAATCAGCGAAAATTTTAGGTCTCTAAATAGGCTTTGAAATTCAAGATAATGTTGTTGTTGGTACTATTACTGGCTCTGCCACCGCTCTAGTACGTAAAAGATATTAAAATTTTTGTTTTTTCACCACAGCCGTTAAAACAAAAATAAAAACTGAACACATTAAAAAGGAAATAAAATTGAAATGCTTTCAGTGGCACCACCCTAAACGTAAGAAATAAATGAGATAATGATCAAAATCTACAATAGGACCAATTAAGGGTTACCTGAAAATACTGGGCACGGGGCTAAGTTACGAAATCTAATTATACTCGAATTATCGGTGAAATTCTAATATTACTGTTACGTAGCCTTTCTGTAACATCATTCCATCTATCAATGACAACATTCAAACAATTTTACATATCTGGCACTGCATTCAATAATGGTAATGCTGGTTCTTCAGTTTATATTGATCAAAAACATGGGGTTGAATTTCCTTGTCTATAAGTATCCAAACATATTTTAGCATTCATATCAGTCTCTTTCCGAATATAGAGATTAAATAGTCCAAGTGTCTGCCAATGTAAAAAACTGATAATTGATGCTAATGATAAATAAAATTCATAATGTTCATTTCGATCATTCATTATTTTATAGATGCATTATGATATGATGGTTGAAGTCAAATTTGCCATTCATTAAAGAATATAAGGGATATATTATCATTGGTTGTATTATATCTATGTCGATTAATTTTGAAAACGCAGGATACTGTCGCAAGAATCGGTCGCAACATTACATAAGATTTTAGTGATATATTTCAGAGGCAAATACCTTTCCCTAGTATTATAAAGGTATAAGATTTTTGAAAAATGATTGAATATCAACGACAGCGCTAACGACCATGATTAGATTTTAAATAAAGGTGCGCATAATCACTTATTCATCACATTTAAATTATAAATTAGCAGTAATACTAGTATCCTTAATTATCTTTTAAAGCAGTCATCAGTTATTTATGGGCTATTTGAAGAAACTTAATTTCGCATTTTAAAATTATTGTTAAAATTCATCATATTTTATCACAATTTTGCTAAATACTATTTTTTATTTAGGCTCTGATTTGGCTTAAATACTATTTTAATAGCACTTGTTTGACTAAGCTACTTTACCTTAAACTGTTCCATCGTCACACGTCTGTAGTAATGGACCAGGTCTCAGCTGTCGTTGACCCTCTTAGTCGTTTCGCGAAGTCATCCGTGTACTTTTTACATCGATGTACCAAACCCGATCGCAAAGGTAGCCATTTTGCAGTATTTATTTTAATTGTTTAGAATTTAAAACCAACGCTTATGCTACTGCTATTGGATTCTTGGCCATGGGCGTCCTTGGATTTGTTATCAAATTGGTCTTCGTGCCCATCAATAGCATTATTGTCGGTAGTTAAGTTTTTCATGTAATAAATTTCTTTTCTACTGATATTTAACATCGTCTTCCTGACTCATACTCGTTTGGCCTCTTGCTCCCAAAATAATAGACTGTCTAAATGTCAATAAATATATTTGGTAATCATGTTTGAATAAATAGTAATAATAGTCGAGAAAAGTCACGATAGCGACCAGCGCTTGAGTTAAAATGCACAAGAGGAATTCAAGATGTGGAAGGCTTGCGATGATATCCGTCATAACTCATAACACTCGGTATAGGATCTATGGTAAAATGTGGTCTGATTTGGGGAAGATTCTGAGGGGGTGGACTGAAACAACCTGGTTGTTGATGATGAGATTTGACTTTACGGCGCCAGAGGTTAGCAAATGGACGAACAAAGGAGTAATTTCGGTGAATATTCGGTTGCATGAGTAGGCTAGGTGGATTTGCCTCATTTCTTGCGTCAGGATGGGAGAACGGAGTATCTAAAGGAGCGTTAATGGTTATTAATAGGTTTCTAAACACACCTGGGGGTGATGACGCTTCAGAGTGGAGTCTATTGGACAGGTTTTGAACCATATTTCTGCTTTGCCAATCAAGGGGTGTTCGGTTATAGGCTTCCTCATTCGTTCTCAAGCACATACCGTTGGGTTGCTCTTCAACAAAATCATCCCCAGTAAAAAGGGAGAAGTCCGTAGAGAGGTCAAACAGACGCAGAGTGCTGCTACTATCTTCACCCAAACGGCATCTTGATTTGTCGTAACCGAGAGCCGTCATTAGTGCACTGATATCGGCGGGTTGCTGCAGGTTCAGACCAGTTAAATCTTCAATTCTGCTCCAACGGTGTTTGCGCTCCTGCATATCTGCAGTAACATTTTCAAGGACACGTCTAAAGGATACAGTAAACCCTAGTTAAAGCAGTGGTTTTACAACATTTATTGGGGTGGTAAATTCCATGTTTGACATTTACCTAGCAGCATTTAATTTCGTATCAACATCATCCAAATTATCCGAATGGATGAGTCTGACAGATCCAACAAGAGAAGACCGCTTTCTCCTCATCCGATCACACTAAAATTGGATTAATCAACCTGTCAACATCAAGGGGTCATTTAGCTGCAACAAAACAAACGCTTACAGCTTCTTTCGCGATCATGAGTTGTTTAGCAGCAGCAGAACGTTTTTCCCAGTAGTGCCTCAACTCCAATTCATGAGTCATTTGGAGGAGAAGAGCTAATTCTGTTGCTGGACTATCCATTGGAGGCTTGGCAACTGAAATTCCAGAAAGACGTTCTGATCCACCAGTATAGAATGAGTTTTGACCGGGTAGAGTTGGGGATGCAGACCAGGGAGCACTGCTTATATTCGCATCAGCGACCGTTCTCCTGGGAAAGAAGGATGATTCACTAGGCTTTCGTGTTGGAGGCTCAGCTTTACCATGCTTCCCTGTGTTTAATGGCTTAGGAAAAGGGAAAATGTGAACGTGAGGATAATCTACTTATTATTTATAAGTAGAGGAATTAACTTACAATCTGTTCTGAACTGCGACCAGAGTCAGAACTTTGGAAAAGGGCATCATCAATTTGAACAGTACGATTGCTCGCAGGTCTATTACTACTTGAGGAAGTAGAAGCTGTAGATTCTACCTCCTTCAACCCCACTAATCTAACAATCAATGTTAAAATAAAGGAGATTGGGACTTACTCTTGGTGCAATTCGTGTAGTGTTTGCTCCGCTTTTGAGAGTCTATCAAGGTTCCCTGAGGTTACATATCTTAGGCGCAGAGTGTAGTGATGGTTGAGAACAGCCAGTGAGAGGATAAATGCACTCGCAACAACCAGGGTGGAGACTAAGGGCATATCACGGGTGAGATGAACAAGTAGGGATCCGGCTGCGGCAACAGTTGAGGCGTTTTCTAGCATCAGAGGAAAAAAACAGCAGTTCGTGAGTCAACAACGCTTTATAGGAGCGGCAAACGCAAAAATGAACGTGAACGAAGTCTTCACCCATCTACTATCGGACTTTGAACAGGAGGGATGTTCACAGAAGCCTCCTCATCCATGCACACACACACTTCTCAAGTGTTTTTTTTTTGTAATTATAAAGTGCTGGACAGCGCTGCAGATCCTTATGTCAATAACGCGAATGTAAGGGGGGGGGGAGGTGGGCCAATTACAATTGATCTCCCAACAAAGATCATTTTATGCTTATAAAAACATGGACGCTAGGCTTGAGTGATTTGAGCACATTAAATGAAAGGGATCTTAAAGTGCGACTAAGTTCAATTGGATCATTCTTGAGAAGGTCGTTTGTAATGAGGATTAGTTATATTTAGCACACATACATACACACAAAGAAGGTAATTTGGGACCTAAGAGAAGACAAATTCTAACATGTTCGATGCAATTAGCAGGAATTATGCATACATGAAAGCGAGATCTTTTGTCTGCTCACTATTTTTTTGGGATTCCTGCTTTTCACACCCATACTTTACTTGGAAAATATTGTACAATCCAAAACCGAAAAATAAGTGAAGTAAGACTCTTTGACGCATTGAGTCGATACTCCAAGCAACCATTCCATACCCCCCCCCCTTTACCACTTGTTGGACTTTGTGATAGCCGGCTTCAGGTGTCTCCCACAATTAAAAAAGGCACAAATTATTTACTGCATTCTAAATTACAGTTTTACAGACTACTGTATTTAGACAGTCATACAAAGCCATTTTAAAACCAAAATTAACAGCAACAAAAACCTGAAAATATTTAAAAAAAACAATTTTCTGTCAGCTCGAATCTGTTTATTCAACGATCGGGAAATAGCTAAGCTTTCAAATTCATTAAGTTCTACAGACAAACCTACCATATTGTATAAGGCGGTAAAGTGGTTACTTGGAGAGAGCGTGGCAGATTGTTAAGCTTTTATCCACAATTAACTCACTTTTGGGGGGTCCGAAGAGAATGAGGTCCATGGCTTTGAGGGAGAGTTTTCTCCGATGAAGGGAATTTTTAATTCCCAACTCATCGCTGAGAAATTTTGTATTACGGGAAACAAACCTACAAGACAATCAAACGCACATATAGTAACAAATAATGCAGCAGCAACAAATAAAAGATGAGAAGGAAATTAAATTACACTGCCATGTATACAGTTGCACAATACCAGCGCACAGAGGGGTACAACTTGAGAGTAATGTACAACACGAACATAAGTCATTACAAAGATGTTGAAAATTGATGCAAACTCCACTTCACGATGAGGCAGGAAGAAAACAAATGATGAGGAAAACGAAGGGAAGCGTAAACGTGAAGAACACTCGAGGAATCAAAACAGAATATTTAGAGAGTTAGTAATGAATATTAGACAGCGTAAGTCCATTTGCCGAATAGACGAAAGCCACGATTTTCTGATGTGAAGGCTGCGAAAGTGATCTTCTCAGAATGATAAAAGAGAGAGTTTTAACCAAGACAATAACAAATTACAATAAAACTATGATGCTCTTGTTAGTGCTAGAGTAATGTGACACATTTACTACTTCTTTTATTGAATAGGGAAAGTTGAAATAAACACAACACGAGGATGCACTATTCCTCTGCATTCTCTTATAAATAGTGCATTGCCTATGTTATAAGAAAACAATTGACATACAAAGAGCATCGAAAAGAAAAAGAGGAACAATGAATGGAAATAATTTTTTAATGGACACGGTAACTTATAATAGATAAAAAGAGAACAATATCAGGGAAATAAGGCGTAAAAGTGGGATAATTAATTATTTATTACCGTGGTATGCTCTCGCCATCGACCTTGTTATCGGAGAAAATTTGGCTGTATTCTGGAAGCTCTACAATATCTATTAACCACTTTACAGTTTCCGAAACTGTCCAGTTGTGCGCTGAAATAAAACGTGTAGGATGAAGATAATACAAGAAATCCACATTTATTTGAAATAAATTATTTAAAGTGAAAAGATTATTTACCCGGATTTTTGCGCCACGCAACCCATAGATCGAGAAGGCTGATTATGCCATCCTCCTGACTAAGATCCCTTTGATTGAATTGGTCAAGGGGATAACTTAACTTTTCTCCTAGAAACTAAAAAATTAACAGAAGTGAACCAAAAAATTATTTGTATTAAGCCATATCACAGCGATTCTTGGTTTCTTATTAAAAGATACTAAAGATTACAAAATTGTGAACCATAAAATAATCAATCATACTGAAATCTAAAAGAATGCAAGTATAAGGATAAAAATAAGACAAAGCGTATCAAGTTAAGATATAAGAGCTTAAAACCAAAAAATAATTATGCTATAACTAAGATACGAATTCTATTTTCAGAACGCTGAAATATCAATAGACAAATATAATATATAATAAGCTTACATTTTGAGCCTCTGAGAAATCAATTCCGCCACTATCATCACCGTCTAATTGATTGTGTAAGTCAGCTATAGCCTCAAAAGCAAGAGTTTTCTTCCGACAGCGAGAGACATCACCTGCGTTCGCGCATACTTCTGAATGGCAAACTTCTGCAAAAAGGTGGTGAGATAAGAAAGATTGCTTACCTGTTGTACAAATCAAAAATATAATACAATTAAAATAAATCCTCATGGACTACACAGGTGAAAGCATCCGTCCAGAAGTCAAAGAAAATACCTACTGGGATTAGTGACCAATAAAATTACGAATGCCCTATCTCCATTTAAATGACCTTGTCTTTAGGGACATTCTAGGTCAGACCCTAATCAACAAAAATAAAAGCATTAATAATGTACAAACCAAAGTACATCGGTAGGTATTTAAACCAAATTTCATCTAATTTATTTATGAATATGTAATTTAGGCCCTTAAAGTACTTGAAGTGGTGCCAGTTGAAATATGCTTTGAGAGAATCAAGAGGCGAATATAAGTGCTTAGTAAATTTATCGGGAAAAAGTAATTGAAATAATTTTAAGTATTATTAAAGAACGCATTTATTAAGAGATGATGTCTATTTATGTTTCATGTCTCCAGTCATACTTTACCTACTGTTTGGTTAGAACAGGTACAAATAAATGAACTATTCTTATTTAATAAAAAATATTGAAACATCGAGCTTAAAAGAGATTCTCTAAATTTTGATTGCACATATTTTTACACCGTTTGAATTCGCTTATCAATCAATCTCGTATATTTTCTAAAAGAGAGCATTTTTCATATACTGGCTGAATCCAAATGGTAAGCCATCGCAATATGCTTAAACACGCACCCAAGCCCTTCAGTCTATAGAAATATTAACATTGCTATAAATGAGCGCATTAGACTTGATTAAACTCTCTATGTTCCTTCAAACGTCCGAATGAAATTTTACTGGATTTCGCTTATTTCGACTAAATGGGAAATGTTTTAACAATCTTTTACAATGCATCCATAGGTGCTATAATCTTGAATATTCTGCCCGGTTGAACTTTCCTCCTTTATCATTTGCTCTTTGCATTGTTTTTCAGCCAATTTAACGAATAAGTTTTGGTTCCTAGTAAATATTGTGGTAATATTGTACCAAGATCTACAGAGCACTTTTTTGTATTATTTTGTTTCATAGTTTTTTTTGCTAAATAAGAGTAGCATGACCATGTTTGTCAATCTATTTTACAGAGTAATTCCTCGATAACCCTACTTCACCCACTTCAAGAGTTGCCATTCTCTTAAATTAGCCCGGAATGTTTAGTCTACAGGAGCTCCTCACTTTTATGGCTGTCTTCTCCAGTTAGGTCACATTAAAATTAAAGTGCATATACCTTCGTTGACCTCCTATTTTGAAATACACATTAACTATTAACTCTACAGATCAAATAATCAAGATAAAAGCAATATGCAAATGATATATCTTATCCTAACTCTTAAAATTTACTGACTAGTAATAGGGAGAAGAGAGTCGCATGTCATCTTATAGATTGTATTTCCTTTAACATGATATAAATGTATTTAAATCCTAAACTCCGAATACAATAACTCCGCATATTGGAATGAAGAATCATCACAGGGGTTCTTTAACCTCCGTATCGTATCCATTTTGACTTTCAGTAGCAGCCTGAGTACTTCCGATTCTCCTGCGTTTATAACTTGACTCTGAACAACTGCTTCCTCCTTCGTCCAGTGATTTATCTTCCACAAATTTCTCCACAAAGGAGGGTTCATAGTTCTGCACTTTTGTTAGCACCTTGTTGATATAAGGTTCCGAGTAACGCTTATTTATAACCTCACGTTGAAAGCCCAGCTGTTTAAACACGTCTAAAGAGTAAGTGGAAGAGAGTGAATAGAATGAAATGCAAGCAAATGAAAGGGGGCAATTACTGAGAAACCACTTACTCTGATGAATTTCTAGAGCTTTAGTGGCAGCGTCTTTTTCAGCATTCTGCAAAGATCGGCCAACCCCTTCAGCAAGTAGCTGGTTCCTAAAATATACACCCACCCTATAGACCCGATCATTTGACGGTCCAGAGGAACTGAGAAGCTTAAGAAGGAAATAAGGTGAGCAAGCGAATGAAGGGAACAAAGGCGGAGAGAGAGATGTAGCTTACTTTGTAGTGAGCCAATTCCGGGTCTTCATTGAGGGATCGATCGGTAAGACAGCATTGTTGGAGTCGGGATTTGGGATCATTCCATTCTTGGGTGAGGATGAACTCAACCAGGCGTGGCCAGAAACAAACTTGACAGAAACGCTCCACCCAAGTGATATCCTTATCTACGTACAGAGCGCCGATAAAGGCTAAACGATGGAAGAGAAAAAAGCTAATGTTCTACCTTGGACAGTACTGATGATCATCAACTAGCAATACTACTCACAATCGCAGATCTAAGTAATAAGAAAGTAAATATTGGGTACTTGGTTAACTACTAATACAACAGTGAAACTAGTTTTATAAAGGAAACGAACTAGGAATTACGTACAACAATCTCGAATGGAGCAGGAATTTACTTGGTTAAATCAAATTAAAGAGCGTAAATTGCAATTATGTTGAAAGTCAAACAAGAATTTAAAAGGGAAAGTCACATATCTTAGAATCAGTATGCCTCAAAAGGCGTTCATCATGCGTCTCGAAACAGAGCCTGATTACTACTATTGGCAGATATGGGCTTGAAGCAAAAGAAATAGAAAGGCCAAATGACCTAGGAATGAATTTTATCACATTCTCTTAGCAATACTCGATAATGTTTAAGCTTTAATATGGTAGACACTTGCACTTAGGCTGAATAAAAACTCGTACCGGGACCACACTACTCAGCATTTCATCTCAAGCTATGGACAATTGAATTTGCGTAAAGTAAGCCAGTAATGACTGAATGATCTAGAGCGTTTTGTGATACTCCATGTGCAAATCCAAAGTGCAGAAGACTATTAAGAATCATGCACCCCAATGACCCTGAGATCGAGTAATTCATTTCGCATTTGAATCCACCCTTTATTGCTACGTGGCGAACGTTGAGTGCCTAACGGGATTCAAAATGTTTCCGAAACCAGGTAATTATTTTACAAATGTGATCAAGTTAATTTTAGGCAAAGCATAAACCAGGGAATCGATAAGACATTGACTATAATAGACTAAAAGACCCACCAAACTGGTTCAAAAGTACTTGGGAAATACACGAATTACTTTTTTACATAACTTTACCTAATTGCCCATATTCAATTATCTATATATGAAAACACATTCGAGCGTCCTTTTCCTCTTCACTTCGTGGTGCATAAGCAATGAAACACTTGATAAAAGATGATCCACGCAGTCTTACCTACTCACCGTTCTTAACATAATTCAAAAAATTTGCTAATAGCAATCAGTGGGTTGGGGGAAGAAAGCAAACTCAGAAAGTTTCTCCGCCATAAAATGAATCCCAGGTGGGGGAATCTTGAAAACGAAGAATTGCTACTGAGAAATATGGATTACCAAAAGTTGAAAGCACAATGATACAAAACTAAGTACACAACACAGTTACAACCATGATCATTAGATTCAACACCCAGAACTTCCAATTTTGGAAAATGTTAGAAGCAAATTACTTGATGGAGTGAAGATATTCTAGAGCTACGCTTTCAAGAAAATTGTATTCCGCCATTTTTACTAGAATTAATCACGGCGGTATGGCACCCACATAATTGGGTGCACATAGAAGGACATTGATAGTGATCCCTGACCTCACATTCGTACATGCCGATCACTACGGCATTCGTGCACACGTAAAATAGCAGTAAGAGTAATAGAGAATAATTAAGATAGCATATTAAAGCTAGATTAAAACAACCAGACCCATTAAGTTAGAAGCCTTTGAGCGTGGGCCAAATTTTAGACATGCAATGAAGTCCTCAGGGTCTAGCTTTGAAACAACCAAACAAAAGATTGGAGCATCATACAGCAAACTAAACGTAAATCAATGTAAATAACATGACCTATTCCTTAAATTTGCACCAAGAAATATTATCTTTCGTTATAACACACGAGCCTGCTGTGCCCATAGACTGCATAATTAAACACACCTTCCAATAGATCCGCCTTATTTTTCACATTCTGTCTGCTTGCTGTCGCACCAAAAGTCTCTTCTGATATACTCGAAATCTTGAGCATGTTGTCTTCCCGTCGAATAACATACTGATCCAGGCCAATTTCACTGCAAACCCTAGCCTGTGTATACTTATTCACAAGGGAATTCTTTAACAGTGACAAGTGGCCTTCGTGGTGGCGCGGAAAATGCTTGAATAGGTAGTCCGTGGTAACGTATTTCAGTAGGGAATCTCCCAAGAATTCCAAACGCTGGTTGTCACCACTAAAGTGTCGAGCAAGAAAAAATAAAGCAATGCGTATGAGGAATATAAACGTTAGAAGTGGGAAATAAGCTTACAGGGTGTAGATATTGCATCCTGTCTTCCTCACTGTTAGTGCCCGAGCAAGAACACGAATGTGTTTAAAGTGAATTCCCAATTGGTTCTCCAGTTCAAATAACTTCTATATTTAACAATATGAATAAAATGCTACTAACAATGTATTAGTAGAATTTAAATGAAAATGTAAAAAGATAGGTGGCTGAGCCCAACAGATGTTACTAGCAATGCATGATTTCTTGCATCAAGTAGAATCTGCTAGGCGTTCTTTGAATAACACTTACAAATAGAATGCAACAAGAGGAAAATCAGTGCAGTGAACCAAACTGGAATCTAATGACAAAATAGCTCACATTAGAAGCCAGCATGGTTAACTGTAGACTCCCGTAGAAATTTAGCAAGTAAATAACTCACCCAGAATAATAATCACTTTATCAGTATTCAAATAAACCATCTAAGCCTTTTTTCAAACAAACAACTAAGTTTAATCATTAGCAAGAGTTCGGGGTATAAGTTGGCTTAAAAGGCACACTAGGAGGGAAAATGGGAACTAACCGTGAGAGTTGGGACTTTTGAAACCCATTCTCTGTCGTCCTTGGGAGGTTTAGCTTGCAATGGATGTGGAGGGATTTTAGTCCACACTTGATGAACTTTAGGATCGTCACCAAAGAGTACTGCACCAAAAATACGGTCCACGGCATCTAAACCTCCGTCCAATGCAATGGCCGCTAAAGAAAACAACATCAGTTCATGCAGAATGAAAAAAGGCTACTTTGAAAATGGGAAGAGAGGAACCAACCCATCACGGCTTCAAAAGCATCAGAACGAGCGAAAACGTAGGTGGAATCATGGCAGAAGTCAACACTATGAGTGTAAAGAAGGTATTTGTGAAGACCAATGCGCTGAAATTAATAAGATTAACTTGGATTACTTTATGAAATGACTCGATCAGCTAGTAATCCTGACGGCCATTTTGCACATAAGAGTTTGAAATAAATATTTCAACGAAGTGGTGTAAAATGTACATTCAAGTAAACGCTGACTCAAATGGATATACAACAAAAGCAACAAGAGGAGGGAAAAATGGCTTCACTAAACAACTTCCAAATCTGATGTCGAATCCAATTCAACGAAGAATAACACCATGGCCAACACAACACATTTAAGAAAAGTGAAAATAAAGCTACCGTCATAAAACGACAGGTAGCAAAAAGTTTTCGATGCCTAACAAGAAATAAGCAGGTACCTAAACCTTAGATGAGCTCTAATTGACCAAAATGCCTTGAAGAAATTGATTCAGTAAATCCAAGTTCAAGCAGTGCTCATCTAAAGCTCAAAAGATAGTCAACAGCAATATACATTGACAAAGGTAATTAACGCAAACAGACCAATTGAAAACTTGACAAATGAATAAAGTACAAAATCAAAGGACGAAAAACAAATCATACATAGGTTTCTAAGAGGTATATTACCAATGGATACACGCATAAGGCTCTTCAGGGTCTAGTTTGGAGCAAAGTAAAATTAAACAATGCAATAAGCTTACCAGGGCCAGATCAGATAAATGTTGATTTTGAACAAGTGCCTGACGAAAATGATCCAAACTACCCTCGGACATTTCTGGGAACATGAAGAAGAGGTGAATGCTAAAGAAGAAACACAACAACTTGTGATACTTATCCTAATGAGAAATGTACACAATGTAAGGTGACTGCGCCTACCTAGCTATGATTTCGATCACAGCATCACCCAAGAATTCCAAACGTTCGTTTCCATAGATGTCTGAGCGCTCTTCGCGCTGCTTCGGCAACATAGACATGACGGAGAACATCTTAGTCAGACCCTTCTTGCGAGAATTCTTATAAAGTCGCAATTTATCTCCGTATTTGATAATTCGAGGACCACAACTGGTTAGGGTGTTTTGGTAGTGGTCCTGATTAGTGCCAAAATCAGTTCGACGATATGAGGGATGGGTTAGAGCTTGCTACAATTGGAAGAGGTGCATCATATTAACTACTCATGGATGCAAAGCAATACGGATGAATTCATCCAAAATCTCGCGATTAAATCATAAAAATCGAATTTCAGATCATTAAATTCAGACTTCAGTATATTCTTCTCTTCAATTTCTCTGAAATATCTATTTTTGAAAAGCTTTGCTATTTCGTGTGTCCAAGTGTAACCCGATTTTTAAACTTCTAATAAAGAATCATCACGTTCGAGCCAACAAACTTGTATGATGCTACTCCATCATATGCATACGTTAACCTGAGTGATCATTTTGTCAAATTCATATAATGACGTGCAAGACGTTCCTTAAATCACATTTCAGAACCCAATTCGGAAATCAACTAGAAGGAGATGTATTGGTTTTTATAGTCTCCAGATGATAAATTTTTCATTTATTATGCTATCTACGAGATAGTAATCAAATTCATCATGTTTAGTCACAGCTGTAGATTGATCGAAACCAACTGTGTCACAGAGCGATGTCAAATGTCACTGCTGTAAAGGCTCAACCAAGCACTCAGTCGATCACTTCAGGCTAACCTTTCGCAACGTAATGACAAATGCACTTCTATCAAATCCCAAATTATATTACCTAAATCTTTGTTTCCAGGCTATGTCCACTCCCATATGCAGTCTCTCCAACGACCTCATTTTCATCTAACCAGTGATTTTTCATCTCTCTATCATGTTGACAAAGTGAAGTTTGGAAGATAAATGGTAAAGTCCATAGGTTAGCTTAAAAACACTCCAAGAACAATGGACCATTTAGCTCATGAACATGACTGAAAGTTATTATAGCGATTGAACTTTTAAAGTGAGCGATTTGATACCAGAGAGCCATCGAAATATGGCATAATACTTACATATAGGATTGATTTATCCTTGAATTCATATCCCAATCGCTTCTCTAGTGACTTAAGGGACAAAATACACCGAATGTGAATTACGAATGAGGCCATATTAAGCGCAAATTGAGTGACATCCGGTCGAATGGCAGTGCGATAAAAGCCCTCGCAACTCAGTTCTACAGTGATCTCTCGACGGTGAACGCTGAAAAATACAAAATAAAGCACTCGTAATCATTATCGAAGGAGAGGAGTCACAAGGAATATAACTAAACTTACCCTTCAAAATCCATTTGATCAAGTTTCCTTTTCAACGTAGCAAGTTGATCCCTATCTTCGGGAGATATTCGTGGTTTATTATACATGAGGTACTGCAGTTTGAGGTAATTTTTGAGTACGCTTTTGTATTGCGGATCTCGAGAAAGACTTAGCTTCATTGGTGTGTATGTCATATGTACTAGGAAGGGATAGGGAGAGGGACGGACCGGTTTCTTTGTTGAGGAAGACTCAGATGATTGACGGTCTAACTGATCGATTCTGATAGCTGGTGGTTTCTGAACGAGAAGCGATTTCGATAAAATAAAAAAAGGAAAAAATAGAAAACGATGTGGAACATACAGCTCCGGGTTTCCAAGCAAGCGTGCCTCTTAGGCCGTTGATTTTTGCAGACCATTCGGAATTTGCAATTCGACGAATGTTAAGCAGATCGCTGGGCTGAAATAGGGGAAGTTGAGATTGATGCATCCAATGTTCAAGTATAACATTTGAAGAAAGTAGTTCTGCAGAAGAACTATCGTCTAATTCTCTCACAAAACGGGGCAAAAGATGAACCACAGGACAACCACCTTCAACACCATGGGGTCGCCAATTGAGGTCCAGTAATTCTAGAAGTTCTTTAAATACGTACTGCGTCAGCATATCTAAAGCTCGAACAGTGAAATTCTGCAAAGTGTAGACAGAAAATAAAATCAACAAAAGCGGATACATATTTCGGTTTAAAAGATATAAACAGTAAACCAACCTCAGGAAAAGATTCCTCAGCATGATATAAATCGTAAAGTATATTGAAACGCAGAAGTTGACATGGAGGAAGCTAACGGGAAAAAAGGAGCGAAGTGAAAGACCAGGAGAGTTAAGTGCTAGTATTAAATATTGGAAAGAGATTTTATACAATATAAATGCAAGCAGAAAAGTTTCACGATTTATGTTTAATGGGCAATTCAAATCGAAGAATTAATCCTTTTTCAAAACAAGGCTACAACTCATTCACCGAATCAGGTGGACACATACAGCATCAAAATACGTGGAGTGAAATTTAGTAAACTGAACCGCCTCAAAAGCCACCAGACACTTTAAAATGCGAAAAAAAAGAAATTTGGTAACTCATCAGCATGCAAACCGGCTACAGTACCGGTGGCCAATCAAAGTCACTCCTGTGGAGGAAGGGAGAATAGCACAAAAAAACGGAGGTTCAAATTAAAGGAAAACGGAAATTGACAAAATTTTAATGCATATGATCTTGCAAAATCATGTAAGATAATTACATCATCGATAGGGGTGTGCAGAAAGATTGAATATCCATCAAATAGATAATCCTTTCCATTGTGAGAGATAGTGGTAGGCTTGGCAAAGAAGAAATTGTCTGTTGGAGTGACCATAATACGGTAATGGTAGAGTCGATCCCTGTTATTCGACTCCAAATTGCACCGAGGGATTTCCTGAAAAATTGTAAATAAGGAGGGGCGAATGCATTAAGATTTTTAGCGAGTTAAGATTGGGCAGACAGGAGATTAGAACTCACACTTTCACCTTCAAACTGATTATGCAGAGGACCAATTCGATACTTGGTTTTACAAGCACATGCCGGACCGCTGTTATATTCTCCCTCCTCGTTATGCCAAATTTTTGGATGTAGACGATAAGGATGTGCTTCTTTGTGAGCAACTTCCATTTTCTGTTGTTCGGCTTTCGCTTCAAAATCTTCGAAGCTTCCAGATTGATTGCTCAGTAGTGAGGTTTCGGACTACAACATTAAAGGTAAATGAAGTAAGTGTAATTAAACTAACAAGCGTCAAAGATCAGGACATTGTGATGCATATATACAGTGGGTTGTACGGTCGTGAATACTATGTAATACTGAAAAATGAGGGGAAGACAGATAGCAGGTTTCAAACCAGATGAGCTGTAAGAAAACCTTGCCTCTATCAAAGCAACAAGTAGTTGATACTTTGCGCGGAGGGTTTGCAGAGTACACGGACAGACTCTGCCAATTACACAAGCTGACTAAATGTACTTGAGATATAAAGATGAAAAAATAATCATGAATGACACAATTTGTGAATGCAGGGGCATATTCCTAAAAATAACTTCTACAGCTAAGATTACTTAGATAGTACATTTTCGAATAATGGCATTTCAAAATGAATTAAAGAAGAAAAGCACCCATCCATGGGAAAAGAAATTATAAATTACCCATTAGAATTACCCTACCTAAAATGAAAAATTTAAAGCCATTTTTAAATTTACGAATGGAACGAAAATAAGCGAAAAAATAGCAAGGGTGATTCAAAAATAATAATGACCCCTACTCATGATCAAAAGTGTGAAATTAAAGACTATAAATTACCATAGAGGATGCACTACTTCTCAATGAATTCGGACGTTTTCGACCATTTTTTGACAAACGAACAGGAGCGCCACTGTCATGTTCGACCATTTCCTGCCGTTTTAAAGCGGGTCGAATTATATTAACTGGAGGCAAACAAGAGAGAGCCGATTCACGCCGATTTAGAACATACTGCTCAAATCGATTTTCCAAGTCAATCATGAGATCTGTGCCATAAGTGCATTCGCCTCGTTTCTATACAACAAACACGTAGAGGAGAATAATAGTAACAAAACCTCAAAAAATTCTGTAGCAGGGGTGCAAGTAATCCTCGAGTAGTGTTTCTGATCATAATCATCTCTGGAAGGACCATACTCGTTATCAGAACTAAAATAGTGAATAAAAAGTAACAAAATTACCTTTTTGCAGCCTTCAAAGATGATTTTGAATTATCCAGACTAGAATCGAACAAAAAAGTTGAAATATTATTATGAAGATTGTACAGATAGAGTTCAAACTTACGGGAAAATTGGATTTGAGATAGGCGGAATCACATTCGGCGGAGGCAAATGCATTGGTGGTGAAGGAAAAATAGAAGGAACAAACTGGTTTGGGAAAGCCATTGGAGGGGGATAATGAAAGCACAGCGGTGGAATGTTCGAATTTTGAGGAACTGACAGTGGTGGTGGATAAGGTGAAGGGATATTGGGAATAGGGAGAGGAAAAGACGTCAAATTAGAAGAGCAATTCAAACCATATGAGGTAGAACTAATCAAAGGAAGAGGCAAAAGTGGTGATGCAGACTTTTCCGAATCCTTATTGAGAACATAAACAGGGATCTCGTCAGGAAGATTTGCAAGATCCTCCTCATTAATATATATCACATTCTTTTTGGAAGAACTCTATAATAAATAAGAAATTAAAGTAAAACCCATAAAAATAAACAATAAATAACGAACCATCCCATCAAACACCCGCCAAACGTGATAGACAAAGTGCGGCTAATTTGGCTGGAGCGCACGGATTCGATCAGGTTAATAGGAAAAAACTAGCAATGGTCTAAATTTATATAAAAATGTTTAAATAATATGTTTTGAAAGATTATGAAGTTTTGATTGTAATACTGCCTGTTAAATACATTATCCTGAAAATTTTAAAAAATTATATAATTTTAATATGCATATATAATATATGCATATATTATATATATAATAATATAATATAATTATTATATATTGCCTTTAACTAATAACTAATAGCTAAAGTTGGCCAATAAGACAGTAGCAAATATTTGAAGTTTTGTAACTGGCCTTGGCTGTATTTATCATATTTTCGCGGAGTTATGTCAGAGGATAAATCTGCCTCTGCCTCTTTGAAAAATATTCTGAGTGATCCAAATTCAAACGGTAATGTAAACAATTTATTGGATGTTGTTGCTGCCTTATTATGGGATTGCAATTTTCAGTCGGCGAAGAATTCTAAGGCAATTCAATCCTTCGTTCAAAGGTAAATACCCTGCCTATATATCAAGATATTTTGATCGTCATTAATAACTGACTTTTAAAATACGATTATTTTTGCAATATGTGGTTTACTTATTTAATGTTTTTATGCATGTGGTTAATTTAACGGTTTTTACGTTTTTGTTTTTTTGTCCAGCTACTTTCTCATCAGAAATTAAGATTCTTTATTCTAATTTATATCTTGACACAGTGCAAAATGACCTATTTTGGTGTACAAATTTCATTTAGATTTTCAGAACTTGCAAATGTCATATATGCTCAGCGTACCAAATACATGGACTTCGAAACGGTTAAAGTCATCGGTCAGGGAGGTTTTGGTCGAGTGCAACTTGTCCGTCACAAAGACACCCGCCGGGTTTATGCAATGAAAATGATGAGCAAGCAGCATCTTCTTGACCACTCACAATCAGGGTACTGGGAGGAGAGAGATATTATGGTTAAAGCAAAAAGTGAATGGCTTGTCACTTGCCATCAAGCCTTTGTTGTAAGTACTCTTGTTCTCAAGTTTTCTTTTTCTTTATATGCTTGTTATTTGATGTTCATATTTTTGGATATGCAATTTCCTTGGTAGGTTCTCGTTTGTGTTGGTTAGATACAACCGGTGTCTTGTGGTTTTATGTACATTTTATTTTCAACACTTTGCTTTTTCCCTCTTGGTTTTATGTGCTTAAATATGGAAGATAGAATCATATGTAAGTCTCATTTTTAAACTTGTTTTTGCAATCCCTGTTTCTGACGAATCCCTTTGTTTTCTGGTTGTCTCCAAACGATTGGAATTTTTTAATGTAACTTATTTGCTGTTCTCTTTCTATTGCTTAACTGTATTGCTTCGTCGATTCTTTGAATTTTTTAGCCTTACTGTATTATGTACGTTTTTTTAATGTTGACGAATATCTTTACCATGCTCCTTGTTCAATTCATTTTAGAATTGTCGTTTTTTCTTGAATGCATTTGTCTATTGTGTTTGACATTTTTTTGTGCTGCTATATTAACTCAACTTCTTTATTATTTTTTTAAATGTTATCTTGTCTAATCAAATTGTCTTATTCTGTTTTTTCGATATTCTTAAAATTATTCTTGCATTCACTATTATTTGGGCTGTTGTTTTATTGTTCCCTCTATGATTGTCTTATGCTGTCTTAATCTTTAAGAGATCGGAGTGTTAAATTATCCCCCTGATCGTTCTCTTCCTGTGGATCAGAGTTTTCTTAACAGATGGCCACATCTTTTTTATTTTTTTTCCACGTATTATGCAATGGGCTTTTTCTGTGTGGGCTGTTCTTCAGTTGAATAAGTTGGATGCTCGACACATCGAAAGGTGATGTCGGTTTTTTACTCAGCAATTTGAATTTGTACACATAGTGCACAAATTAGCATATTCAAATTGCTTATCCCGTTTGTTTTTCTGTTTCTGAGATGTTCCATGTTTTAAATTTCAATTGTATTTTGAATGTAATATTTTTTTGTATTTCTTCCTCCCTTCCCTTAATGTCAAGTGCTTTGTTCAGCTTCCACTTGTACTCTCTCACGCTTGCCGGCGTATTTTTTTTTGTAAAAATTGGCTTTTGAGTTTCACTCTATCCTTTGTTGCTGTGTGAATTTCAATGGAGGCTAACCAGCTACTAACATGCGCAAGATTTTGTATGTAAATTTGGTTGGCAATGTGATGTCACGCTTTCTTCTCCTTGATCCTACTAAATCTCGTGTGGAAAATGTCTTCAACTTCTTTTGCTGATTATTCATTGCCCCCAATCCTTAATCTCTTGAACACCACTACTTGTGGTTCATTGTCGTTGAGATTAGGAGCATCAAAATGTTTCGTGTGTCGGTTGAATACGTCTTTTAGTCATCTCGTTGGTTCAGAATCCTGTCATTTCCTAAGTATTTTCCTACTTGTTGTTGTAAAGAATGTTCTTTTGAGAGGATAGACCCTCTTAATATTGAAAATTATTATGTGCACAAAATCGTAAGAAAACTCGTAATCATTTGGGAGTGACATTAGAAAGCATTTTCTCTCAGACTTTCTTTTCCATTTCTTTCATTAATAATTTGAATTGACTTATCAATAATTCTCTCGTTGGGGTTACATTTCGTCGTCTTGTTTCGTCGTTATGCCTTCACATTCAGCCACTTCGATATTGGGCTCTGGTATGATTTATTTATTTTTCACGATCATTCCATTAGTATTGTCTAATGGTGTCCGTTTTTTTGCATTTGTTCTATTGAGATCCCAGTATTAGTTGGAGTTGTGTCTCATGGAGGTGCAATTGTTGTGAGTCCTTTTTCTAATCTATCTCGTTCAATAAGGACTTGCGAAATAAGGCTCGATTAGAAAGATGCGACATAATCGTTGATGGTGCCTGTTGGATGGCTATGTATTGTTCTATTTTGTATTACGTCTAGCTCTCTAATTTCTGTTTAGGCATTCCCACTCTCTTAGAGATATTAATGCAAGCGTGTTATCTCACATGTATGCGACAGGCTGAATGACGCATATCTTACTAGTGCATAGGCTTAACTACGAATGGCTCGGTGTTACCCGTCTCGCATCATACGCTATGAATGTCTCTCCTAGACCTTCAGAGTCGAGTAGGATTGTTTCACATTAGTCCTTTGAATCCATGAAATCCCTTCTCTTTCGTTCATGCTCATATTGTAAATTGTTAATCGAGATTTAACAAAGCCAACTTTAAAGCATTCCGCACTAAGGCTCTGGTGGTAATGGAAATTGACTCGGATCCAGTAGATTCAAGAGTAAGGAAGCAGAGGTCTTGTTGCTCAATCATGATCTAGTTATTAAGAAAATATGAACTTAGGTGTATTGAAATGAATATTTAGTGAATGCTTTTCAGCTTCCTCGAGGAACAATATTGCAGTTCTGGACTCTTAACAATCACTTAATTTCTACTCTTTTTTTCAAGGAAAGATAATCGCTCCAACTTTTCTCAATTTAAAGGGCTTCGAGGCAGCTTTTTAATAAAAGTAGTATATTTTTCGGAAACGGGATAATAGAGATGTTGTTTTTGAGATACATTTCATTAAAATTCCAATTACACTTTTTTTGCGAAGAAGAATGTCAAACTCTTATTTGTTTTTTTCGATAGGGCTCAGTATTTAAAGTAGCTTGAAAAAGTCAACTTTGTCCATATGGCAATCTCTCAAGACGTCATGACGTCATCGGTCTTACTATTCCCCCCCTCCCCCCCCCCCGAAGAAGAATTGTTTAACATTTATTTAATTAGCTTAAATGTCAAATTGCTATTATATAGCTGACCGCTTTTCTAACAGTACCGTCCTCTTTCAAACTAAGCCTCTTTGTTACTAGACTCGTAACAGAAGGGAAAACAATGGGGACTTTTTTAGTACATAAAAAACAACTCTTGGCCACTATCCTGATAAGAAACTAGTATTCTTCTTTCTCCAGATGTTGATGGATTTTGATAATTTTCCGAATCATATAACCCCTATTTTTACTGGAATGCTTGCTAATCACACAAATAAAGGTGGTGTTAGTCTTTCAAATATCAATCTATTTATTCGTAGATATCGCAACAGACAGAGTCTTACTAATCCTAAGAACGTTCTCTGGGATAACTTTCTCCCTCGTGGAGCTTAACAGAGATGTCAGCGTGTTTTTGCCATTAAAAATGCATGAGTGTTCTTACGCGCAGTTCTTTCCCCTTGGAAATATTTATCCCCTTCGATCCTGTTATAATTGGCCGATTTCAGAAGTACTACCTTTGACTCTTTTTGTAATAAATTCAAGGGGGGTGTGAGGTACTTGGGCTCAATTCCAGACTAGACAGCCGAAGTATCCAGCCCGCCGAAAAATTAGTAACCCGTCTAGCTTGTATATTGTGATGTGGGTGGGTGGGTGGGTGGCGGGGTAGGGGTGGGGGTTGGAGTGAAACGCTATGTGAGCTCATTTCGAGGACAGATACATGCAAAAGTTCCAATATTTCATCATTCTTTTCTCAAATTGCTCACATTTTAACCACCAGCTACGTAAAGTTTGTATTTGTGGGCGCAGAGCCGCAGCTAAGCCATCGTCTCTGTCTCCTGTTACTTCTCCGCAGTTGTGTGTTTGCGTGTGTGTGTGTGTGTGTGTGTGTGTTTACTAGTTGCATCGCGGAGGCCTGGGAGTTCATTTTTGTGCGTGTAATGAATGTTTGCGAATATTCAACCTACCTACCTCCTCCTTACATTATCATCAACATTCAATAATTAATACCTTTCTGAAGTGTTGTATGCAACTTCTTATACACCACGAATGCGTTTGTGCACTTGAATGTACAAAAGGATAATTGTGTCGCCGCGTGGTTGGGATTTTAGTATGCGTATATGTGGTCAGGTAGCATTGGTCTTGCTCTCTCCATTGGGCATTTTTATGTCACGATTTGTATTGCGTTCTTTTTTTCCCCTATATAAGCTTGGCTCCTCACTGAGGTATGGTGGTATAGTTGAGAGAAGAAGAAGGCTTCCATTTTATCGGGAGAGATGTGTTATTTGGTTATTGTTTTTTTTCCGACGAACGAATTGCATATATTCTCTCCAGGGCATCGAGAATGTTTGTTTCTGCTTTCTATTTAGTTTTTTTTTCTAGCAGTCAAATCTGTCTAGAATTGAATTGAAATTAAATATCTGGCTGCATATCTTTTTCTTCTCTGAATTAAGTGTTGGAAAGTACTATCATGGCAGCAATACGTACGTCAAGTATCTCAAGATCAATGCTGGTGGGGGGGGGGGTGTGGGATAGACTTACCTCCACGTGGTGCACC